TTGTGGTTGTGGGAGCTCCTCTGGTGCCGCACACTGCCGTAGTCCGAAACGTAGCCGCTCTTGGCTGCCAGAATCTTGCTGCATATTGTGTTGCTGGCACCGCCCGCACCACTGGCCGCACCCGCTCCGACACTCACGCTGCGCAGCCTGAACTTTTTGTTCACATCGATCTCACGCCACAGAGGGTCCAGCTGCAGCTCTTCCTTGTTCGTACTGGAGCTGGTCTTCTTGTTGTTCTGCCGCCGCTTGTTCCTGGGCGAGGGATAAAGGACTCGCTCCGTCGCATACATTCGCTTGTCCAAGTAGGCCATATCGATCTTAGGCTTGTTGCTGCTCGCAGCGGCTGGAGCTCCAACTGTGCCAGAGGGGACAATGTTCTCCGTTTGCATTTTGGGCGAGGGCGTGGTGCTCTGTGTGGTGCTGGTGGTGCTTATGACGCCCGAGTCGGCCGATTCATTGATGGCCGGGCCCGAGCTTCGAGATGGCGGCACCACTATGGGCGTTTTCTTGGGCCTGCCGCGACGTTTGCGCGGCACATTCGCCAGCAGTTGGGTTTCCTCCTTCGCTTTCGGGAGCTGCTTCTCCGCCAGCTTGGAGTTGCCGGTCTGGCCCAGCATCTGGGTCTTCTCCATGAAGTCCTGCAGCAATGTGGACTGGTATTGGGGCAGATTCTTCGATTTGGCAGCCTTGCGAAAGCTGCCCTCGACGGTGGTGTCCTCGGTGTCGCTCTCCACTCGCTTAATGGCTGCCTGCACCAGATTAGGCAGATCATTGTCGCTGGAGGAGATGCCAATGTCGAGAGGTTTGCTCGCGGACTGTGCTGCCTGGCTTATGGCCGTTAGCAGGAGCCGGGGGGCACGCTGCTGGTGCACCTTAAGCGGCAAATCATCCTCAGAGTCCGAGGAGAAGGCGGACTGCATCCGTTTCTTTGCCTTTGCTGCGTGGCTTTCGGTTTTGCTGTTGTGTGTGCCGCTGCTGCCGCTGGCAATTTTCTTGCGCTTCACTTTGATTTTTTTGCTAGCTGCTTTATTTTTAGCCTCTGAGCAGCCGGATTCCGTGTCCTGGGTGGACATCTTTCTAGACTTTAAGGGATTCTTGCAAATTATGCTCTGACGATGATCTCTCTGACTGGGAGCTGAGGCTGGGGCTAGGGCTGGGCCTCCTGGGGTTGGGGTTGGGGGTGGAACTGGTGCTGGTGCTTTTTTTGATGATGCGGGTAGCAGGGGGCGAATGGCTGAGATTCTCATGCGCAGTCCATCAGTGTCCGAACGTTGCACGACACTGAACTGTGTGGCTGATTTCGCAGACTTCGATTGGCTCGATTGATCCGTAATGGAATCAGTTTCCTATTAATTCAAAGGTCAAAAATGGATTATCGACATGGGTGTTGGGACTACTTGCCTCATTTTCACTGCCGGATTCTTGTGTACGTTGCGTTTCCAAAACCTTTGCTGCTGATGCTGATGTCTCATTTTGGCCACTGCTCATATTTTGGTGTCGCGTAGAAGCTGCAAGATGATGGGTAAATGCGGCGATTAGCTGCGGCCACAGGCGAGAGAGATGTTTTTTTGACAATGCCTTAAATTTAATCGCATTTAAAGTAGGTCAAACCGTAGGCGCTGTGTGGGACAGCGGGGCGCGCGGTCGGTAGGCCGTCGTCTGGGAGAGGGCACCCCGCGCCAAACCAACACCAACCCAATCAACTCTTTTCACACACTTACGCTTTGTGATTTTCGCGCTAGCACTTCACCTGCGGCTTTAGTTCAAGTGTAAAGAGTCAATGAATAACCGAATTAGTGCTTTATTCATTGCATTTGTAGTTTTTTGTTTGTCCCTGGCTTGTGGCTTGTTTTGCTTCTTAAAATGGCGCCGTTTTCACTTTTGCTGCAGTCGCTGCTGCTGCTGCTTCTCTGCTTTGTTCGACGCCCGACGGACGACAACGACGCAACGTTGCAATGCTTTTCTTTTATTTTCGCATGCAGCACACTACACTCAATTTCGATCGCTATATTGTTCACTTGTGTTGCACGCGGGCAACGGGTGGGGGCGCGCGTCAATTGTTATTCTTAATATGGCGCAACAACAAAAATCCAGGCAACCAAAAATTTACGAACATAAATAAATAAAGAAATGGTGATTGGTGCAGTGTAACCGCGGACTTATCGATAAAATATACCGCAGTCCCGCAAAAATAAACCATCTCAATTTCAAAATACACCGTAAATATTCCGAATCCTAAATCATTTTCATTGATTTCGATTATCTTTTTTATTTTAGTAGCTAGCTTGGACAACAAATTCGTGTATCCCATAAAAATAATTGATTTTCTACAAGATTGACTAGTTAAAATTACTCCTTGTAATTGAACTGTTAACTATAAAAACTTTAACAAAAGTATACCCAAAATTAATGTTTTTACATGGCATCTACACATTTGCTACATAGCAAGTACATTTCGAACAGGGTCTGTGAACCAGGGTAGCAACTATGTAAAAACGCAAGAAAATACCAAAAGCAAGTAGATTTTGCAGTGTGTCAGGTATATTTGGTATACTTAATTAGACTGTTGGTATATTTTATCGATAATTCCGCATGCACACTGCGTGTGTACATTTTGTTTATTTATATACAATTTATCACAGAAATCCCATCGTAACGTTATTAATTGCACACACACATATTGGAAAGCATGAGCGGGAAGCCTGTAAAGCCAAGCAGCGCTACCAGCAGTATGCTGTACGGCTCCGTCTACTCTGCTGAATCAATAAAAGTAATAGCCGAAAGTATCGGCGTGGGCACCTTGTCGGACGATGCGGCCAAGGAGCTGGGCGAAGACATCTCCATTAAACTGAAGCGCATTGTCCAAGATGCGTCAAAGTTCAGGAACCATGCCAAGCGGCAAAAGTTGGTGATCAGCGACATCGATATGTCGCTGAAGGTGCGCAATGTTGAGCCCCAGTATGGATTTGTGTCCAAAGATCACATTCCCTTTCGCTTCGCCTCGGGCGGCGGTCGTGAATTGCACTTCACGGAGGACAGGGAGCTCGATTTGAGTGAGATCACAGCCAACAACTCGGTTAAGATACCACTGGATGCAACGCTACGCTCCCACTGGTTTGTGGTGGAGGGCATACAGCCCACCGTACCGGAGAATCCGCCACCGCTCTCGAAGGACTCTCAGTTCGTAGACTCGGTCAATCCGGTGATCAAACTCGACCAAGGCTTGAACAAGGATGCTGCCGGAAAGCCAACCACCGGAAAGATTCACAAGCTCAAGAACGTGGAGACCATCCACGTCAAGCAGCTGGCCACGCACGAGTTGTCCGTGGAGCAGCAGTTGTACTACAAGGAGATAACCGAGGCGTGCGTTGGCTCCGATGAGCCACGTCGAGGAGAGGCCCTACAGTCGTTGGGCTCTGATCCAGGCCTGCACGAGATGCTGCCTCGCATGTGCACGTTCATAGCCGAGGGCGTCAAGGTCAATGTGGTGCAGAACAATCTGGCTCTGCTCATCTATCTGATGCGCATGGTGCGTGCCCTGCTGGACAATCCATCTCTATTCTTGGAGAAATACGTAAGTCATCCGAGGCAACTCTTTACCATTGCTAATCTCTGGGCTTTATCGTTGATAGCTTCATGAGCTGATACCCTCAGTGATGACGTGCATTGTGTCCAAGCAGCTGTGCATGCGCCCCGAGCTGGACAACCATTGGGCACTGCGCGATTTTGCCTCCCGCCTGATGGCCCAGATCTGCAAGACCTTCAACACATTGACCAACAATCTGCAGACTCGTGTGACGCGGTAGGAGTTCTGATTTTTCTTCGAACAGGGCACACCTTTATTCCCTTTTCTTTTCCCCACTCTACAGTATCTTCAGCAAGGCTCTGCAGAACGATAAGACGCATTTGTCCTCACTATACGGCTCCATTGCGGGTCTGTCGGAGTTGGGAGGCGAGGTGATCAAGGTGTTTATTATACCTCGACTTGCATTCATCTCGGAGCGCATCGAGCCCCACCTGCTGGGCACCTCCATCAGCAACACGGACAAGACAGCCGCCGGCCACATACGCGCAATGCTACAGAAATGCTGTCCCCCGATATTGAAGCAAATGCGTGCCCATCCAGACATTGCCGACGAGTACAAGTCGGACTTTGGCTTTCTGGGTCCGTCGCTGTGTCAGGCCGTGGTGAAGGCACGCAACGCTCCGGCCAGCATTGTGACGATCTCCTCGAACGCCATCAACACGGCGCCCATCACCAGTGCCGCTCAGACGGCCACTGCCATTGGACGCGTCAACATGCCCAGCTCGCAGCGACAAGGGTAAATGCACTGAATGGAACTCCCATTTAATTGCCACTTCTTATTCCCCGATCTTCTTCCCGACAGAAGTCCAGTGGTGTCGACCCTGCCTCAGATACGCGCCCTTCAGTCCAATCAGCAGCCGCAAAAGTTCGTGATTGTCACACAGAATGCACAGCAACAGCAGTCGCAGCAGGCAAAGGTGGTGCGACGGGGCAGCTCGCCCCACAGTGTTGTCCTGTCGGCCGCCTCCCTTGCCGCGAACACTTCCAACTCGAACTCCTCCTCGGGCAGCGGAAACGTCAGCAACCTGAACAGTGGCGGCAGCCTGCTCTCCTCGCGGAGCAACGACAATGTGTGTGTTAGTGGCGATGGCCAGGAAGGCCAAGAAATGTCGGGTCTAACAGTTGATTCTTTTTAGAGCACCCTAGACGCCAGCTCGCTGATCATCGAGACGGAAATTGTGCGCGCTCCGCCCGAACTGGACGATCTGACCCATCTCGAGTGACACACAAGCATTCATGAGCTCCATTCATAGTCGTTCGTAGCTTAAGCGTTACCCCAAGCAGTATATAATAAGCAATAAAGTGAAGTTTTGTATCCAATAACCTACCCCAAAAAGCGCTTAAAGCTTGCCCACGCATAATGCACGCAGTACGCATGTGCGGAATGGAATGTCTGTGAAGTGGCTGGCTATTGATTTTTCCACCACTCAGCACAAAGAGCTCTCAGCGGGCAAAGAGAGCACACAGCGCACAACTCATTTGTAGATACCCATCGCAGGACAAAGGCAAAGCTCAAACCAGGCCACAGCAGCAGCAGGAGATATTTTGGAATTTTTGTATAGGAATTTGGAGTTAAAGAACTGAAACAGAATGCATGCCAGATTTGCTGATCCTGAGCCCGCGTCCCCCGACAGCGAAGAGCGTATTGAAACGGAGACTTTGGAGTATCGCATCGAGGTGTTCAAACAGAATCCCAAGAACATGGCCGCGCTGCACGAGATGCTCGATGAGGTGGTGCTGCGCGCTGAAACGGAGGCCAATAAGCGGGCATTCGATGGCCAGAAATTGCAACAGGTAAGCTTATCCAATTACTTGTATCCTTTATTGGTGCTTGCTTTGCGTGTGTGTGTGTAAAACTAATGCATATCCTTGCTACCCCACTTTTGCAGGGCAAGGAGAAACGTCCGAGTGAGTATCCTTATTGCTTTTTATGGGAATGTAAACTTGCTGGGATCCACCTCGGCCATGCACTTGGTTGTATAGAAGATCTTTTCACACGAATCCTTGTACGATTTCTCTGCGAAAACAAAGACAATAGGCCTTCAGATGTCGCCTTGAAGTGGGCTTCAATTCGATTAGTACTTACGCACATCCCTGCATGCATCTACGGACGCCTTGCCAGCCTCCAGCATTTCCGGTGGCAAAATGATTGGCAGCTGAGCATACGCCTTGGTGGCGCTGAACTCACCCTTCTTCGTCACCGTGCCTGCCATCTGGGCAATGCATCTGGTATAGCACTGCAAGAGGATACATAATGGAATAGCTTTGACTATCTCTGATCCTCGACTCACCATCAAATCCTTCGTGTGCTCCATGGTAAAGTCCGCTGAACGCATGCGATCCAATTCTTCGGTGGTCACCTTAAACTTGGGCTGGCAGGCACCGCGCAGCATGTCCATGGACTGCATCATCTGTTCCATGGTGACGGCCGCTCCTTGCTGGGGTAGCAGCACCAGCAGGAGAATGGCCAACGCCAGAGACGACTTGCGTTTCCAGTGCTTCTTCATTATTGCCAAACAAAAAAATGCCTCGAATTTCCGGCTTGCTGCGGCCTTTATATGTGCGCAGATGAGATACGGATGGGGATGGAGACCCTGGTGACAGGTGACTGGCGACTGGCGACTGGGTGGGTGGACCAGCAGGTGGTAATTAAGCGGAGCCACTAATTAAAACACGCTTTCGCACGTTCCACTCCCAATTGCATTCTCCTGTTCTGTAGTTATTTATGTTCGATCGCATGCGATTTGTGCACTTTAATCCGCAATTTGCTTTTGGCCTCCCACACTGATCTTTGGTTCTTTGCTTTTCGAATGCTTCCTGTGCTAATCTGTCCAGGTTTCGCCATACCAGATTTTAAGAACGGCAAGGTGGTGAATCGCGCACGAGGATTTGTGGTGCGTATCTTCGATGCCATCTGCAATTGCGCCAACACCAATGCGGCCGCAGCCACGACGCGCTTCAAGCTGAGAAGCAACAGTGGTGGATCAGCAGCAGGAGGATCATCTGGTAATGGTAAGCGTCAGCAATCCCAGGACGAACCGGAGACCCTAACCCTGACCAAGAAGAAACCATCGGCCGAGGGCAAAAAGAAGAAGGGCGTCAGCATGGCCGATGATGTGCAGGCGGGCGTACGACTAATGGACTAAGTCCAGCAATAATCCAATCTTGGAAAACACACACAAAATATAATCAAAAAGGAGTGGGCCCAAAAGATAAGGGAAATCAATTATTGTATCATCACAATCAATCCCACAACTTTACACCAAACACCGTCTACACTCTACATACTCCTTCTAATGGGCTATTCCCAATGGATTTCATTGCTCAAAAACTTCATCGACAAACGCACAACAACAATTTTGATAAAGTCTTCCCCGCCTTGAGTATGGAAAGGGAACTTTCCACTTTATCATTTTGAAAACCCAAATGTGATCCCAAAGAAACAAAATCAGAAGAGCACAAGCAACATTTAGGGTTAGTTAGGGTCTATAACTTTTCATACACTCTCCACTATCGGAAACAATAACATTCTCCCACGCACAACACAATCAAAATGTAGGCATTGCAAAATACAAAATATATATCACAGAAAAAATGCAATGCAATGTCATGGGTTTAACCACAGGTCTATCTGTCAGAACACTCCACCTAATTATAACTACTGAACTGTAGGATAAGTTTATCAAATTATATACCATATACCTATTTAGATGTGTGTTTTGTGTGTATGTGTTTGTGTGTAGTAGAAGTTACTAAAAAAAAAGAGAAAGCAACAAAAATTCATTACTAAATATACAAACATAAATGTGTACTGATTTTATATATATATATATATAAATGTGTGTAGTAACTATACCTATCTATGTACCATGCAAACTAGTACGATTATATAGAAATTTGGTTACATCCGACAACCGACAAACAAAATTATAGGTTTCCTTTACCCAAAAACCACACTTGTACGCTCTATACACCATATATTTTTGTGAGTGCCCCTTTTTGGAAGAGAGAGAATTGATCTTACACCGTTTAACTATAACAAAAACTATAAAAAATTCAAACTGAAAGAACTTTGTAAACATATTTGCAACGGGCAATAGTTTTGTATAAGATTTTGCATTTATTTTGTAAACTCCCACAAATGCAAAGAACTCCCCACAAGTTTGAATTTGTTGCTAAAATTATGAATTATAAACTACAGCAATACGAAAGAAAAGTGTTCGCATAAGGCAATGCGAAATGTTGTACTTATTTAGTTTACAATGAAAATATCAGCAATAAAGTGTAACTATGTTTGAAATGAATTACGAATGAAACTTTGGGACTTATAGATCCCATATACACATATAAATTAGAGGTATAAACAGTGTAACCATTGGCTTTTTCTACGCTTACAATGGTATCGCGATGCTGTTTCCCCTCCCTACTTTGCTAGGATTCCGGTTCTGGGCTTTTAATTGATTTATCCATTGTGTTGATGTACAGCCGTCAAACTGCAATTAAATATGGATTCTAAGTTGCACATCTATTTATACAGACAAATATTACTTTTATGGAATCAAAACTCACCGAACCGCATCATTAGCCATGCACATCACGTTTCCCCCAGGGGCTGCGTCATCATTCCCATATATCCCAAGTGTTTGCCACAGTGGCCACATTCAGATAACACTTGAAACTGGGTCTTAGCTCATAAGCATTAAAGGGGGGACCGGCATGAGCTCTCTTTCCCTTTCAGAGATAAGGGAGTAGCAGAAATTAAATATTATTTAAGCAGAGTGAAAATTGGGTATATAAATGTCAGAGCTGGTATCTTGGCGGGCTCTCGTTTGGGTAAACATGTTTCGAGTTCAGCTTTAAAGTACGCGACTTGCCTGAGCGGCTCATCATTATTGTAAACTAGGAAAAACCAAAAGTGTCAGCGCCACAAACAAAGCTACGAGCAGCCCACAAGGTGAACTTAAAGCGAGAGTTTATCTGAGCTCGCCTCTCGCTGGCCATTTCGTAACCGACGCTCGACGAGAGAACTTCACGAAAGTCATAACGGATTTGAATATCAACGGAAGCGCCACGCGATTAAACTTTGAAGCAAAATTGCGGGAAGGTTGCTCACAATGATGCCTCGACAGTGGATATTCTTGGCTTTTCTGTGCCTGAGCTGTCAGCAGATCCTGGCCAAAAGTTACTCCAGCGACTACCTAGGCAAGAACACAAGGACTTATGGCCCGATAACTAGTCTTAATCTAAACCACTTAAACAGATCTTCTCGACTTGAACGACAATGACGAGTTCCAGTGGGGCGCATCCGAGAATCAGTTGAACAGCAATCAAAGTGAATTGAATTTTCTATCACGACATCGTCTCCAAAAGCGACAGTCACCTGCTGATGACAGTGTTGGGAGCTCTGGATCCCAGTTGCTGGTGAGTGAATCATCTGCCAAGATTAGGCTTCTCCAACCTATGCGAATCTTTTACAGGAGAACACGGACTACGGTCCATGCAGCACACCGCTGGGCGAAACGGGACGCTGCCGCCACATCATCTACTGTCGCATGCCGGAGCTCAAGAACGATATGTGGCGTCTAGTCTCCCAGTTGTGCATAATTGAAAAAAGGTGAGACTCGATCACGCTCTTGCTGCTCTCATCTAATCTTAAATTCAATCCGTGGCAGTTCCATTGGCATTTGTTGTACTGAGCAGGCGATTAGTTCCGGCTTAAGTCCTCAAATTGTTACCAATCCCGACAAGGAGGAGCCCCGAATTGTGAATCGACCGGAACAGCGGGGCTGTGGCATCACCACGAGGCAGTTTCCCAGGCTGACGGGTGGACGTCCAGCCGAGCCAGACGAGTGGCCCTGGATGGCGGCCCTGCTCATTGAGGGCCAGCCCTTTGTTTGGTGCGGAGGAGTACTCATAACCGATCGCCACGTCCTGACCGCCGCCCATTGCGTATACAGGAAGAAGAAAGAGCAATTATTCGTGAGACTGGGCGAGTACAACACTCACCAGTTGAATGAGACGCGCGCCAGGGATTTCCGCATTGCCAATATGGTCATTCACATCGATTACAATCCGTTGACCTACGCGAATGACATTGCTCTCATCAGAATCGACAGGGCCACGTTTTTCAACACGTACATCTGGCCGATATGCATGCCTCCGGTCAGCGAGAACTGGGCCGGACGCAGTGCCATTGTCACGGGCTGGGGTACACAGAAGCTGGGTGGGCCCCACTCCAACATCCTCATGGAGGTAAGTACCGCAAACAGTCGCTTAAGGTTTCAACTTTAAAGCCAATGCTATTAATTTAGGTCAGTCTGCCCGTATGGAAACAGTCGGATTGCCGGGCTGCCATGACTGAAGGCATTTCGGATACAGTACTTTGTGCCGGTCAGCCGGAGGGTGGTCAGGACTCGTGCCAGGGCGACAGCGGCGGACCGCTGCTGGTGCAGCTGCCCAACCAGCGCTGGGTCACCATCGGCATTGTGTCATGGGGCAACGGCTGTGGCGAGCCTCGTCGTCCTGGTGTCTACACGCGCGTCGATCGCTACCTCGACTGGATCCTCTCGAATGCGGATGTTTAGATGCGATGCGATGCGATTTATGTACATGGATTAGATGTAGCAAATGCTTTTGTATTGTCTACATACACTAATTAACCTTATATCAATGTTAATACATCGATGCAACCCCCAACCCCCAACCCCTAAACTACTTTTACTGCGATTAAGGCCCCGTTGGCATAGCACTAGCAGCGGTCGACACCTTCTCGAGGGGCTCCTGCTCAAGCTCCGGCACTAGTTTCTCCTCCTCCTCGGTTTTGGTGGGTGCAGAAAAGGCGATGTTGTAGACATCCTCGTAGTTGGCCGCAAAATGAACTTCCAGGCCTTCCGTTATAAACTTAGGCAACTCCTCGAAGTCCTTCTTGTTGTCGACAGGCAGAATGAGGCAACTGACGCCACTGCGACGTGCCTGTAGAGTGGATCAGAGAGTGTACTTTCAATTCACAATGAACCCGCATCTACTTACTGCTATGGTCTTCTCCTTGATGCCGCCGACGGGCAGAACTTTGCCCCTCAGAGAAATCTCGCCCGTCATGGCCACATCGTTGCGCACAGACTTGCCGGTGGCCAACGAAATTAAGGCCGTGATAATGGTGACGCCAGCACTGGGCCCATCCTTTGGTACAGCCCCCTCAGGAACATGCAGGTGGATGTTTCTATAAAAGGAAAAAATAGACACAGATTAGAAAAATGAACGAGGGGCTTCTGTTGGAGGCTCTTACTGTGTCTCTAGGTACTGATTGTTAGGATCTCGCATGAAAACAAAGTTACGAGCCACAGTGAGGGAAATTTGGGCAGACTCCTTCATCACATCTCCAAGGTTTCCGGTAATATACAAATTGCCACCTCCGCCTCCACTTCCACCGACGGCTTCTGATTTTGAACCCAAACTTTTAAATTGGTTCCGTGGCGTTGTCTCAATGTACAGAGATGAGCCACCCATAGCCGTCCAAGCCAGGCCCATGACCACACCCGGCGGCGTCGTCTCGTACATGCGGTCGGAGGTAAATATCTGCTTGCCCAGGAATGTGGTCAGGTTCTCGGCATCCACTGGGAAGTTGGTGCCTTCCTTCTTGACCATAAGAAAGGCTACCTTGCGGATAACTTTTTCGATTTGCTTCTGCAAGTTTCGCACCCCGGACTCTCGGCAATAGCTGCGTATCAACATATTCAGGGCATTCTCGGTGATGCTTATATTCTCGTCGGTCACGCCACAGTCCTTCATAGACTGCGGTATCAAATACTGACGGGCAATGGCCACCTTCTCTTCTGCCACATAGCCGGACATCTCAATCATCTCCATGCGATCCCTCAGTGGCTCTGGTATGGTGTCAATTACGTTCGCAGTGCAAATGAACAGCACACGCGACAGATCGATGGGCACGTCCAGATAGTGGTCCAGGAAATTGGCATTTTGCTCGGGGTCGAGAAGCTCTAACAGCGCCGAGCTGGGATCTCCCTGATAACCTCTGTGATTAAAGATATAAGATAAGTAATTTATATTCGAAATTGATTAAAGACAAGAACTTGTGGGACTTACTTGCCAATCTTATCCACCTCATCAATGAGCACCAGGGGATTCTCCGTCTTGGTCTTCTTCAAGCACTGTATCAGTTTGCCAGGCATTGCGCCCACGTAGGTGCGACGATGTCCCTTGATCTCAGCCACATCCGTCATGCCGCCCACACTGAAGCGGAAGTACTCGCGGTTCAGAGCCCGAGCAATGGACCTGGCTATGCTCGTCTTGCCCACACCAGGCGGTCCATGGAAGCACAATATCTTGCCCTGCGTGGTGCCCTTAAGAGAACTGACGGCAATAAACTCTAGGATACGCTTCTTGATATCCTCCATGCCGTAGTGATCATGGGTTAAGATCTCTTCGGCCTTTTCCAGGCAGAGATTCTCAGTGCTAGTGATTCCCCAGGGTAGCGATGTGAGCCAGTCGAGGTAGTTGCGGGTTACACTTTAACCAAAAGGAGAAATATACATTATAGGACGATGTCAAAGAGCTCTCCCTCTCTCTCCCTTACTTAAATTCAGAGCTGTGACTCTCCAAGAAGTTCAGTTTTGTTAGCTCCTCATCAATGACCTGCTGAATGCTTGTTGGAACGATTTTGTCTTTCAGCTTTTCTTTATACTTTTCGCCAATGGCATCCTTGTCGTCCTTTTCAATTCCCAACTCCTTTTTGATAACCTTCAGTTGCTCGTGGAGAATGTATTTACGGTGCTGCTGCTTGACTTTTTCCTCCACTTCGCGTCCAATTTTCGCCTGAAGTTTCGATAGCTCCAGCTCCTTTTTGAGTAAAGTGAGAGACAGCTGCAGGCGCTTTGGGATCTTTAAGAGAAAAATATATTAGCATAAAAGAGAAATAAATGGCATCAATAAAGGTCAAATAATCACATCTGATTCCTCTAGAATATTTTGCAGCTCCTCTGGATCTCCAGACGACAGGGAGGCACCCAAGTCACACAGGTAGACGGGATTCTCCACCACTCGTTGATTCTGGTGTAGCATTTGATGAAGACTCTCCCTAAAGGGAAAAGAGAAGAGATAACTAGGAAGCTTGTTGCGATATTTTATGGCTTACCTATACAAGGGATTCATGGTGATGATGTCGCGTAGAGTCTTTATAATCTCTTGGGTCAGCGCCTTGACCTCATTGGTTTGTTTAAAGACAGATTGCTTAACATTTTCTACTTCTACAATGAGCACAGGCTGTGAAGCAGGTGCTGGATCGGCCTCTGCACCAGAATCTGTCAAAGTTTCCAATTTCTCTGTTACAGTCGAACTCTCTTCGACTTCATTCACTGCGATTTTGTTGTGCCTTTGTGCGCGGCGTGCTTTGCGTCGTTCACTTGATGTCAGTGGCATTGTCGTTGTCGATGATTCGTTGTTTGTTGTTTGATCTTCAGCTGGGATGTGTAATTTAATATTAAATAGTGGATAATGCAAAGTTGTCATTTTCACTAAGATCAAGAACATTTTTGTCACAATTTGTATGGGCTTAGTGTGTGTCTGTGCCTTACCTGGTTTTTTTTCTGCTGGCAGATCCTCGATCACCTGTCCCGTAATTCGTATACGACGATGGGCCACCACCACCATGCGCATCTTGTCGCCCAAATCCTGAACTTCTTGGATCTGTGCAAAGCTGCCTATATGATGGACATCGTCCAGACTCTGGACGACCTCCTCTTCGCCATCAACTTTTTTAAGGAAAACTCCAATGTAGGGCTGGTTGAGCTTAACTTTGCGACGCAGCAGATCCATAATAATGGGATTGGACACCTAAAAGATGATATATGTATGTCACTCAACATTGTTGCTCAATTAAATGCACTCACCTCCACAATCTTTATGAAGCGCGGAAACAAGGGATTCCTACGCATGGCTATCAACGGAACATGTGGCCATACGTCGGGCACTGCCAATGTGGCAGGGAGGTTGGAGTCTTGGTCGAACAACACTTCTGGTGACGCTGGCGCTTTCTTGTCGTCGGGATCATCACGTTTGCGACTGTAGAAGCGTTGAGACATCATTGTCGCCCCACTGAATCTTTCTAGGCGTGTAACCTTCTCAGTAAAATGTCTAGTCAAGGCACTTTGTCCAGGACGATTGCGGGTCCACACAAGTGTGGTACTCAAAGTGCGCATTAGATGCCGCCCTCGTGCAGCGTAAGCTATCATTTTAAGTCTACTCCGGATTAATCACAGCAAAACGAACAAAACACAACAAGTTCTTGTAAAATGATTATGTGACGGGCCGGCTGATGAAATAAATACTTTTAATACTTTTTACGCGTTTTCAACTTTGAACCAATGAACCAATGATTCTGCATTCCGCAGAAAAATACCAACATTCTCATTTTTAAAGTGGACCAAACCAAAACACTTAGCACTATATATAAACAGATGAATAACTTGAGTTAAACGGTTTTACTGCTTGTAAATGATCCTCATAACTCTTTCTTTCTCTTTAGTTACATAATAATATTTCTTCTATATTCTTTACATGAAGCTCATTTTCTGTCCATGATCGGTAATCAAATTCCTCGATTTTTATATTCTCTTTAATATTACTAGCTAGATAGGAATCTCAACACTTAACGTATTATTTTATCCAATTGATTAATTGATTGTCTACAAAATTGTCTTCTTTTCAGAACTCCTTTTTAATAGATTGTTTACAAAATGGGGTCAACAAAACATTAAGCATAAACGTGGGTGGGAATGAAATGGAACTGAAACAACGTAATGGGAATGGAATTTTCGTCATTTGCCCACTTGTTGCTTGTCAAGAGTATGAACATTTGTATACCCTATTTCCTGTAATTATTGTTGAAATTAAGTTTTCCGAGCTGCTTTTCAACATTAATAATTTTATTTCAGTTTATATCTCGCTCTCGATATGTTTCATAATCGGTGTCTATGAACTGCAGATTTTCGTTTAGATCATTTTTACTCTGAGAATGACTAGTTTCTTTGTTGGTTGGAGCCTGAGAGCTCCAACATTATATAAAATTAATTTCCCCAAGGGTAGTTATCCAATTTCCGTAGTTATCCAATTCTATTTGATTGCAATGCTTTGATCTAGTTTACCAGAGGGAGACAGCGTCAGCCCGCTGCTTGTGCAGGTGACCAACCATCGAAAGTTGTCATAATGGAGTCTACACGAGCGTCGATGGGATTTATGTACATGTCTTAGATTTAGAAAATGATTTGGTTTGTATACATACATACACTAATTACCCTGATACGTCGATGTCAATACATCGATACAACCCCCAACCCCCAAGCTAATTTTACTACGATTAAGACCCCGTTGGCATAGCACTGGCCGAGCTCGACAACCTCGATAGGGGCTCCTGCTCGTCCTCCAGCTCGGCCACTTGCACTACTTTCGCCTCGCCCTCGTTTTTGGTGGATGCAGAAAAGGCGATCTTGTAGACGTCCTCATAGTTAGCCGCAAAATGAACCTCCAGGCCTTCGGTTATAAACTTAGGCAACACATCAAAGTCTCTCTTGTTGTCCACGGGCAGGATGAGGCAATTGACGCCACTGCGACGTGCCTGCAGAGTGGGGATAGAAATTCAGATCAAGCTGCGTTCAATTCACAATGAACACTCATCTTACAGCTATGGTTTTCTCCTTGATGCCGGCTACGGGCAGTACTTTGCCACTCAAAGAGATCTCGCCTGTCATGGCCATATCGCTTCGCACAGACTTGCCGGTGGCCAACGAAATTAAGGCCGTGATAATGGTGACGCCAGCACTGGGCCCATCCTTTGGCACAGCCCCCTCAGGAACATGCAGGTGGATGTTTCTATAATGGAATAAAGTGGAACATATGAGATAGATGAACGAGGGGCTTCTGTGGGAAGCTCTTACTCTGTCTCTAGGTACTTATTTTTAGGATCTCGCATGAAAATAAAGCTACGAGCCACAGTGAGGGCAATTTGGACCGACTCCTTCATCACATCTCCAAGGTTTCCAGTGACATACAAATTGCCACCTCCGCCACCGCCTGATCCCATGGCTTCTGATTTTGAGCCTACACTTTTTAATTGGTTTCGTGGCGTTGTCTCAATGTACAGAGATGAGCCACCCATAGCCGTCCAGGCTAGGCCCATTACCACACCCGGCGGGGTCGTCTCGTACATGCGGTCGGAGGTAAATATCTGATTGCCCAGGAATGTGGTCAAGTGCTCAGCATCCACTAGGAACTTGGTACCCTTCTTCTTGACCATTAGGAGGGCTATCTTGCGTATTATCTTCTCGATTTGCTTCTTCAAGTTTCGCACCCCGGATTCTCGGCAATAGCTGCGTATCAACATATTCAGGGCATTCTCGGTGATGGTTATATTCTCCTCGGTCACTCCACAGTCCTTCATGGACTGCGGTATCAGATACTGGTGGGCAATGGCCACCTTCTCTTCTGCCACATAGCCGGACATCTCAATCATCTCCATACGATCCCTCAGTGGATCTGGTATGGTGTCAAGCACGTTCGCAGTGCAAATGAACAGCACACGCGACAGATCGATGGGCACGTCCAGATAGTAGTCCAGGAAATTGGCATTTTGCTCGGGGTCGAGAAGCTCTAACAGCGCCGAGCTGGGATCTCCCTGATAACCTCTGTGATTAAAGATATAAGATAAGTAATTTATATTCGAAATTGATTAAAGACAAGAACTTGTGGGACTTACTTGCCAATCTTATCCACCTCATCAATGAGCACCAGGGGATTCTCCGTCTTGGTCTTCTTCAAGCACTGTATCAGTTTGCCAGGCATTGCGCCCACGTAGGTGCGACGATGTCCCTTGATCTCAGCCACATCCGTCATGCCGCCCACACTGAAGCGGAAGTACTCGCGGTTCAGAGCCCGAGCAATGGACCTGGCTATGCTCGTCTTGCCCACACCAGGCGGTCCATGGAAGCACAATATCTTGCCCTGCGTGGTGCCCTTAAGAGAACTGACGGCAATAAACTCTAGGATACGCTTCTTGATATCCTCCATTCTGTAGTGATCATGTGTTAGGATCTCTTCGGCCTTTTCCAGGCAGAGATTCTCAGTGCTAGTGATGCCCCAGGGTAGCGAGGTGAGCCAGTCGAGGTAGTTGCGGGTTACACTATAATCAGCAATAGAGATATAATTGATAGGATGATGTCAATGAGCTGTATCCCTCTCTCTCTTGCTTACTTAAATTCAGAGCCGTGACTCTCCAGGAAGTTCAGTTTGTATAGTTCCTCATCAATGACCTGCTGAATGCTTGCTGGAACGATTTTGCCTTTCAGCTTTTCCTTAAACTTTTCGCCGATGGCATCCTTGTCGTCCTTCTCAATGCCCAACTCCTTCTTGATAACCTTCATCTGCTCGTAGAGTACGTATCTGCGATGCTGCTGCTTGAGTCTTTCCTCCACTTCGCGTCCAATTTTCGCCTGAAGCGTCGATAGCTGTAACTCTTTTTTGAGTATGGTAAGAGACAGATGCAGACGTTTTGGGATCTTTAAGAGAAGTATGTATTAGCATACAAGGTAAATCTGTGCCCACAAATATTCACATCTGATTCCTCTAGGATATTTTGCAGCTCCTCTGGGTCTGCGGATGACAGAGAAGCACTCAAGTCGCACAGGTATATGGGATTCTCCACAACCCGTTGATTCTGATGAAGTATTTGATGGAGACTCTCCCTAAGGGAAAGAGAGATAAGCTGGAAGCTTCTTATGATATTTTATAGCTTACCTAAACAAGGGATTCTTGGTGATGATGTCGCGTAGAGTCTTAATAATCTCCTGGATCAGCGCCTTGACCTCATCGGTGAATGTAAAGGCAGATTGCTTAACATTCTCCACCTCTACACTGAGCACAGGCAGCGGAGCGAGTTCTGTAAGAGCATTTTTTGATTTACTCGTTTCGGGTTCGAAGGCGGCTTTGGTTGCAGATGCCAGAGCTTTAAGTTTCTCTGATATATTCGAAGGCGCTCCATTCATTCCGATTTTGTTCTCAAGGTCAGCGGCAGCCGCAGTTTCTATTATTTTCTGCCTATGTGAGCGGCGTGTTTTGCGGCGTTCTTTTGATGTCATTGGCATTGTCGTTGTCGATAATTCATTGTTTGTTGTTTGATCTTCAGCTGGGATGTGTAATTTAATTTTAAATAGCGGATAATGCAATGTTGTCATTTTCACTAAGATCAAGAGCATTTGTCACAATTTTGATGGGTTTAGTGTGCGTTTGTAGTGGCCTTTACCTGGCTTTTTGGGTGGAGGCAGATCCTCGAACATGGGTCTTGTAATGCGTACACGACGATGCGCCACCACTACTATGCGCAGCTTGTCCCCCACATCGTGCACCTCTTGGATCTTTGCAAAGCTGCCTATATGATAGACATCGTCCAGACTCGGGATAACCTCTTCTTCGCCATCAACTTTCTTAAGGAAAACTCCAATGTAGGGCTGGTTGAGCTTTACTTTGCGACGCAGCAGATCCATAATATTTGGATTGGACACCTGAAAGACGAGTGGGAATGTCGTTTTGAAGGCCTCTGGAATATGTTTTCCAAGCAAATGCACTCACCTCCACAACCTTCATAAAGCGCGGAAACAAGGGAACCTTACGAATGGCAATCAGCGGAACATGTGGCCATACGTCGGGCACTTCCACTGTGGCAGGGAGGTTGGAATCTTGGTCGGACAGGACTGCTGGTGCCGCTAGCGCTTTCTTGTCGCGTTTGCGACTGTAAAACCGTTGAGCTATCACTGTCGCACCACTGAATCTCTCTAATCGCGATACCGTTACCCTCTCGGTAAAATGCCTAATCAAGGCACTTTGTCCAGGGCGAGAGCGGCTGCACGCAACAGTCGTACCTAAAGCGCGCATTAGATGCTGCCCTCGAACAGCGTAATTTATCATATTTAATCAACTCCGGGAATAGATTCAATGAACAAAACAATTTCGGGAATAATAATAATATGACAGGTCGGCTGTTGAATTAAAACTTGGCAAGTGTTGTAAAATATTTGGATTTAACGAGAAGTCAAAACTATACACCATCCAGATACAGATGAGAATTATTTATACAGAAGAATATTATCGTTTACGGTTGATTCCCGGGATTCCAGACGCAGTTCCTGTACACTATGCTTTAATAATATAATATATGCGAATATTCTTTCCATAATATTCATAATTTCCAACACAGTAATGTACCATTGTACACCAATTTATCATAAATACATTTTCATCTGAATATACCAAAAACTCTAGAAAAAATATACCGTAAACGGTGCTGTAAAGTGTTGTGCGATAGAAGGTGGAACAGGAAGACGGGCAGCAAAAATATTAGTTTCGTTGTAAAAAATTGTGTTTGATTACATTTAACGATGGTTTCGCGTTTCGATCAACAAAAGACCAAGCACCAGCTCTTCCATGTGTCCCTCAGCCTGGCGACCATATTGATATGCATGACATATATGCAGTACCGCCGGAACTGGGCCTATCTCGGCAACTTCTGGGACTCACTGGTCGTTCCAATTGTCTTCATTGGCGAGCTGCTGAAAGTCGTGCTGGCCCGTTTCTATGGCCGCATTGAGGATGGTGTTCTGACGATCAAGCAAAGGCAGAAGAAGGCGGCATATTTCACGGCACGCGAACTTGCCGGAGGATTTACACTGCAGTTTCTGTGCACGCTGCTGTATGCCTTCATCTGCATCATTTTGGGAGCACCGGTGCTAGGCAACTACGAGGAGACCTTCGTCCTTTCCCTGCTGATGACACTGCTGACGGTGTCACCCACGGTGTTCCTCTTGGGCGGCGGCGGTGCCCTGCAAGTGTGCTTCTGCGAGAAACCGGACTTTGTGACCAAGTGCGAGGACACGGCTCTGAATCTGTTCAAGTACAATGCCCTGGGTGGCATTCTGGGGGCCTGGGCTGGCAGTGTGGTGGCGCCTCTTGACTGGGGACGGGACTGGCAGGTGTATCCCATACCAAATATCATCGGAGCACTGCTGGGCAGCGCCATGGGCAATATCTATGCCTGTACGCATGTCCTCTATGCCACGGCCCGTGTGTACATGACCAAAAAACGCGCTTAAAAATAAGAACAATAAATGATATTAATCCTGCCACCAGATAATTACGTTGCGCTGCCACAAAACCCACATCCACATCCGCATCCGCACACGACCCACGTCATCATCTGTCTCTGTCTAGTCAGCAGCTTAGGAACTACCAAAAAGCAATTAACATACTTTAATGTTACATGTTTAAGCATTTTATTAGAGTGTAATAATATGAATGAATTCTTTTTTAAATCAATCAACTAATAAACTAACAAAAAACATTACTATTAATCACAAGCGATAAAGACACAAATGTTACCCCCACACACAATGACTGAGAGGACTGTCCATTTACCTAAACATTTGAAACATTTACGACATAAGAAAGGACAGCCTTGGTTTTAGATCTTCCCCAACAAATAAACAATAAATTGAAAACACAAAACAGTTGCTCGTAGGAGGATCATAAACGGATCCAGACACACAAAACACATTTAACACAATTTGGGCACAAAACCTAACCCTTGGCAGCCAGCACAAAGCTCTCATCTTCAAGCAGGCAACGTTGGCCCACATAGTTCTCATTGGGCTCCCAATAGTCCTCGTTTTCATCTTCGGCCAGCGGCTCACTGGCCTTCTCATTGCTGGGCGCAACCTCTGGCAGCTGGAACTCGCGATGTTTGTTTTCCGCATTGTCCGAGGACAGACGTCTGCGAAGCATTGTCTCGGCCGTCGTGGCTGGACAGTGTCCCGTCTCGTAGAGTTTGTACAGCTTGATGAAATGCAAGCCACTGGCAAGCTGTGGCCCCCCCTCCCTGGCCACTATCGCACTCCAACTAAGGGCCAGCGTAGCATGGGGCACATAGCCGGCAATGCTGGCATTGAACTCTTCGGTGCTGATGTTGGTATTGAAGAACACGGTCTCCTCGTTGGTGAGGAAGCTGTGCGGATCGTGCAGCGACGGCATGTGCTGCTCCACTTGCTGGGCATGCTGCGCGGGCATAATCTTCAAGTGGGATAGTCGGCTTTGCAGCAGAGTTTTGATCGTTGGAATGTCATTAAAGTGTTCTTTTAGGCCCTTCTCCTGCAGTCGGAATTGCAGGCTGCAGAATTTGGAAGACTTGAGGCACTGTCCACCCGCCTGTCCCGCACTCACTCCCATGCTGTCCATAACTGCAATACATATAAATAAATCATCAGGAAGGTGTCGGCATTAACCAATTCTCCCACTTACTGTACAACTTCTCTGGATTCACATCGTACTCCTTGGAGTACAAGGATAACGTGTTGATGTACACTTCTGTCGCCTGGGCGGCATGCTGATTGCGCAGGTTCAGCTCAAGACCCAGTTCGTTGGTCACTGCATTGCTCACGAAGCACGTGGACCCCGCTTGTAAGCAGCTCTCCACCTGCAGGTGCCAAATGTGACGCACCAGCCTGTATTTGATGGGCGAATTGGCACCCACTGGCAATGAATAGTAGAAGAGCAGGCGCAGCGTGAAGGGTCCATCCTGGTGGGGTGCCTGCAGCCACATGGAAATTGTATGTCCCTGCTGTGCCTCCAGGGCCGCCTGTCCAGGACGTTGCAGCAGCCGGAACACACGCTGTCCACGGATTTCCTTGTCCTTGACGAGCTTATCATTGGACAGATCACGTAAAGCTGTGCAGGATATACTCATTAAACATACTTAATAATCTGCCATTCCATTTACTTACAGCTCTTCATGGCCAGCGGCATTTGATCGTGGTGCTCCGACTGCAGTGACACGCAGCGTGGCGTGTCGCAGCCCAGATAAATCTCCTCAATGGGAGCTATGCCCAGATTTCGTAGGGTAATGGAAACGGGTAAAATCTCACCGGCCAAGAGCTGGGTGGGCACTGGGCTAAAGCTAACACTCATGGCGGGCAATTGGGGCACCAGTCTGAGGCTCAACCGGTTGTCCAGAACGGTCTGTGAGGATTGCTTGGCCGTGGCAGGTCGAATCATTTGCGTCTCAAACTGCAACGAGCCAAGCAGACTGGCCGTGGGATCCGCGGTGGCTGCCACACGGCAGACCACGCCCAGAATGAGGAGTCGTCCCGTGAGCTTCGGCGTTAGCTTGAAGTAAACAGTTTTCTCTGCCTGTTCGGCCAACTCAAACGATGCCACGCAGCTGGTCTTTATGGCTGCCTGCACGGCCGCTTTGCTGGCACTGTCTGCAGCTTCCTCGTAAACGCAGGCATTCGACAGCACTTCCTCGTTGTCCAGCGTGAGTTTCCAGAGCAAATCAATCTCAGAGAGGGCTATGCTGCAGCGAACACTGTTCGAAAGGGTCACGGCCAGCTCAATGGGCTCGCCCTGCACGGCGACTGGCGTCTCCAGGGCCGGCTGCTGCTTGGTATACAAATATCTCGTGGGCTTAAATACGAATGGTTTATTGGAGGCAGCGGTGATCACCAGCATCTCCTCAATCTTGTTCCAAATGGACTCATCTGCAGTCAGATTCGAGTCGATGTCAATGTTGGTGGCTGGCAGCTGTGGCGCCTGAGCTGAGGGCGATTGCACCAGGGTCAAGACGCGCACCGAAGACTGCACCAACTGGGGCAGGGCATGAGGTAGCAGTCCCACCTCTGGACTACGTTTGAGGAGCTCCTGGAATACACAAATTGTCTGTAAATGGATTGGAAGGAACCAGCATTCCACTCACATTCTGCGTCTGGATGTACTCCTTCAGGAAGCTGCTCTGCTGTGCGGCACTCTGCAGGCTGCCAGGGCGCAGGAGATGGGCAAAGGAACGACTGGCCTCGTCCAGCTGCTTCAACATGTAGGCCTGCTTGGCCACCGTATACTGTATATGATCCTCGGCCAGGCTCCACTCTCGCTTCTGGAACACCTGGTAGGCCTGGCGATAGCAGCGATACGCATGCTTCCGCTGTCCGGCACGCGAGTAGCGATTCCCAGCCAAAACAATGTGAAAGGCATACTTCCGGTGCATGGCCGGTTGTGTAACCAGAAAGCAGTAAGCCGCCTGCTCCAGCAGCAGCGCTGAACGAAGGTCCGACTCCTCGCTGGTCATGCGTATCAATTGCTTGGCCACATCGCTGTACAGTCGCGCTGTCTTCAGGCACTCCATGCTGAGCAGCGTTGCTCGTGTGGCGAATTGCTGCATTCTGGAAACGCAAAATACACTCAGAAATTGGACAGATAATTCGAAGGGGAAACCCACTTGCACACAGTCAGGTAGCACACAATGGCATCCTCCATGTAGTCGTAGGTTTTGCGGTGCGCCGTGCCCAGCATGAAGGCGGAAAGGGCTGCCATTTCCAGGGCACCCGCATAGTATTGCCAGGCAGAGTCCGCATTGAAGTCCCTCTTCGCCTGGTGGTAGGCCTGAAAGGCCAGATTGTAGTGTCCAAACATGAAGTAGAGATCGCCGAGCTTTCTCGTTTGCAGCTCCGCTGATTCATTTGTGTAGATGACTGCATTTTGATTATTTGCTCCCGCTCCCGGCTTGCTGGTGACGAACCAACGCTTTGTGGCACTCAGCAGGGACTTGCTCACGCCCTTCTTGTTGGTCACACCCTCGCTGAGTGTGGCCACCAGGTGCTCGATGTAGGGTATCAAGGCACGCACTGCGTAGTCCTGCACAAAGTGGCGCACGTTGTCAATGTCCCTCGTGGTGAGACAGCCACCGTGTGGTGCATCCGCCTCTAGGTCGTTGGCCCACACATTGGGATTGATGGTCTGGGAGGCAAGGCTCTCGCTGCTAATGCTGAACTTAGAATTGATGGCCTCGGTGGCGCTCTCCTGCATGGGACTCAGAGGATGCAGCATCGTCAGGCCACTCTCCTGGGCAGAAACTTCCTCGAGCAACTGGGACATCTGCATCGAGGGCATGCTGATGACGGACACCGCCTCCTGTGGAGATTTCGGGGCACTGAGATCCGTGGAGGTGAGCGTGGCGTCGCTCTTCGGCTGCCTCTTGATGTAGCACGCCCAATAGTCCTGCACCTCTGCAGGTGCCTGACTGTCCACCGAGTTAATGGACACTAGAAAGCATTTGCTGTCGCCAAAGGTGGACTTGAGCAGCTCAAAGCCCTGCTGTGCCTTGGACAGATCCCCCTGGTTGGCCTCATGGAGCACCACATAGCTGTTGAGCACTTCGTTGGGCTGGAACCACTTGGGCAGTTTTTGGGGCGTGATGCTCTGCATTTGCTGCACCCGTTGGGTCAGCTTGTGCGCCGTTTCCACAATCTGGGGATCGGCACTGGACAGCACCAGCAGACAGCTGAGCAAATGTCGGGTGAACTCATGGTCCGCTGGGAATTGCACAGTCAAAAACGTCTCACGCCATTGTTCAAACCAAGGTTCCGACGACGGCAGCTCGAGGTCAATGTCCGCTGTGGGAGGGGGTTCAGAAATTGAGTGCCGAATCCTTTTGGGTGTGTCCTAACTGCATACGCACCTACTGTAACAACCTTGGTCTTGTCATTGTTGGCATTGGTCACCGATTCGTTGAGCATTCGGCGGGCCAAGACTGGTTGCGGCGGCCGCCAGTCCACATGACAAAAGTTGAGCCGAAGTCCCCGCACAGAGACACTCGTCCCGGAGACATCGCGAAAGTGTGCTACTTGCCATGAAGGAGATTAAAGTTATTTAACCACAACACCAAATTGTTTACCACCGCCCCCACCACACTCCAAAATCCACTCACCATCGTTGGGCAGTTTGGCAAAGGGCTGCAGGAGCTCCACAAAGGAGAGATTGTTGCGGTGACAGATGTCATCTGCGAGACTGCTGCTTAGCACGCCGATGAGCGGTGAGAAGATGTTTTTGATTATGTCGCGTGCATTGTAGTTCTGGCCCGTCAAATGCAGCATTATTTAATTTATTTATTTATTGTCAATTTGATTGGCTCCAGTGGGACCGCGGATTAGGGTTGTCAAATATATATCAATATATCGATATTTTTTTCAAATCAAAATATTTCTATATCGTGATTTTTTTCTCAAAATATTAATACATTCATATGTTTTTGAGATATTTTAAGTTCGGTAATTACCCGCAGGATCTAAATAAATATATAGGGTATTTTTAAATATTGTATTTGTGCATAAATTGTATGTAACGCACAGAAGGAAATGTTTCCGACCCCATGTAGAATATATATTATGTTGTTAGTATTGATCAGCATCAATAGCCGAGTCGATATAGCCTTGTCTGTCTGTCCGTCTGGAAGTCTTATTTGTCGGCTAGTACTCAGAGACTATAAGAGCTAGAGCCACCAAATTTTGCTCCCAGTTTGCTGTGATATCACACCGATACAAGTGTATGTACGAAGCATCTCACACGTCCCTATTCGTTTAGCTCTCGAGACGGGGGTTTTTTCGACTTTACACGGAAACCGCATGTGTGTATTAGTGCGTTGACTGTATGGTTAGTGGTTTGGTCCCAATTATCACGAAAGCCAACGGAAAAGACCTACGCAAAATAATTTTTTATCAGAGTTTTCTAGAAAAATAGAAAAAAATTATGTATAAGTCAAATTAAAAGCACAGAAGAGAAGAATAAGAATGAACATTAAAAACATATGTAAGGTTTCTGTTTTCTTTATTTTTTTTGAATTTTAGCAAATATATATCAATAATATTTTATAAATTTTTGATATTTTTTCCAATAAAAATATATCACCGATATGATATTTTTTAAATATCTGACAGCCCTATCGCGGATTAGTGTGTCCTCGGAACTATCGATAGAAAATACCGACAGACCCTCGGAATTCTACTGAAATATCTTTTTTGTTTTGATAATATACTGTAAATATACCGTAAGTCTAAAATCATTTTCCTCGACTTTGATATTCTGTTTAATATTACCAGCTAAATAGGAATGTTAGCTTTAACACTATAATTTTATTATTTGTATCAATCAATTCTTCACAAGATTGGTTTTTTTTCTTGACCTATTTTTATTTTATTGATTGCAAAATAAGTTTCAAACTAGAAAAGTAAAATCATGAAACGAAATATGACGTCATTGTTGCTATAAATATCGCTTAACTTGTATGGCTACATCGCCTATCGCACACAACTACCGATACGCGGTGTCGATAGCGGGAAGCGCGGGAAAGCCTGTCAGCTGTAATAAAATTCCGCATAGTTTTACGCAAAACCGAATTGTACACAAAACGCAAACTTAATTAATTCAACGACAAATAACTCTTTGAATATAAATTCTAAACGTAGGAAACCAAAAACCTTTGATATTTACGACGTGAGCCGCTAGTATTTTTTTATCAGCGCACGCAATCCAACAGAAGGAGCACAAAAAAAGTCCGCCGCTTGCAGCGTCTGAGAAAAAAGGCTGAAAGTCTCGCAGTCTCCCAAAGAACAGCAGAGTCCCAAAAGTACAGTCATGGCCAAGGTGCATATCACAAACGTTGTGGTGCTGGACAACCCCAGCAGCTTCTTCAATCCCTTCCAGTTCGAACTGACATTTGAGTGCATCGAGGAGCTGAAGGAGGATCTCGAATGGAAAATGATCTACGTGGGCTCGGCAGAGTCCGAGGAGCATGACCAAGTACTGGACACCATTTACGTCGGCCCCGTGCCCGAGGGTCGTCACATATTCGTCTTCCAGGCCGATCCGCCAGATGTTAGCAAAATTCCGGAACAGGATGCTGTTGGCGTCACCATTGTGCTGCTGACCTGCTCGTATCGCGGGCAGGAGTTTGTGCGTGTTGGCTACTACGTGAACAACGACTATGGGGAGCAGGAGATGCGCGAGAATCCGCCCACCAAGCCCCTGTTCGACAAGCTTACGCGCAACATACTCGCCAGCAAGCCGCGCGTCACCCGCTTCAAGATCAACTGGGACTATGGCCACACCAATGGCAATGGCAATGGATTGCCAGAGAACAACGGTCACACAGATGAAATGATGATTGACGGACCATCCACATCGCAGGTGGCACAGGCAGGTGCCCAGGAGCAAGAGCAGCAGGAGCCGCAGCAACCGGATGATGACAATAGCCTGGCCATGCCCATTGAAAATGGCATCAAGGCACTCAACGAGAATTCCAATTCTCTGGCAATGGAATGTTGAGAGGCAGTCCAACTGCAACAAACACTCTAGAGTGGGCGCAGACTTGAAAGAACTCTTCTCCCAGCCCCACCTCGACCCCTTAATTAAGTAATGTAATTTAAAAGCAAGCGATTTAAACTAAAACTAAAATATATGTACACATTAAATTAACCTAAAACGAAATGCTGACTTTGTTCCATAAAGAATTTAGCATCCCATCCATTTTGTCTCCCCTGTCAACTGTCGTCAGACGACAAAAATTTCTATTATTTTCCATGAGAATGTCAAAATCCAAAGTGAATCAAAAGGGTGCGCCCAGCGGCAGACGCTCGCGGCAGCCCACAAGCAACAGGTGAGGCGGCACAAGACAAAATTGTGGTACTGAAGTCCAGTTTCCTTTCAGCTATTACAGCGCCCATTCAAATCAGATCTGCCCGAGTCGTTATGCCGCCAATCCCCTGGACAAGCCATATTATCACGAGTATTTGTGGAAGTCCTGCAAGAAGCGCAAAAACCGCGTGGATGTGGAGGCTGATTCCATTGGCGTTGCCGTGGGCATGGTCTGCTCCGAGTCAAAGATTGCAGGGAGTTTAGAGGGCAGGCTGCAAGATGAGGTGAATTCGCGCAACTTTGCCACGTACCTGAAGGCGTTTGCCCTGGTGTATGTCCTACCGGAGGTGGAGTGGACAGCGGAGAAGATCGACATGCTGCTGCAGGAGGGCGCTGACCTGTTCATTGCCAGCTCCGAGGGCGATGATTCAAAGCCGAACAAAGACTCCAAGAGTACGCCACTTCTACGGCCGCAAATCTACACGAACGCCGAGGATCGCATCAAGCGGAACTTCACGCTGGAGGGTCACACCTTCACCCTGGCCCTGGAGTCGCGCTATCTGGGCGATCCGAAGCAACCCCTGGAGACGCAGCCGCCTCACATAATCAGCAACCTGCGCGATGTGCTGCAGACCTTCTTCCGCACTGGACACTACTGCCTGCTGCTGACCAAGATGGGTCATCTGCTCATCTGGAAGCGTCGCAAAGTGTTCTTTGTGCTCGATGTGCAGGGCAGGCGCAAGGACGATCTGGTTAGCGACAAAGCCAAAGGCGTGGTCATGCTCGTCTGTCTGCACACCATCGACAATGTCTTCTATCTGGTTAGCCAGCTCAGCGGCATCTCGCCCACCGATGACTTCACCCTGCGGGAGCTGGTGGTTGTGCGCCTGGTGACGCCCGATGGCCGCATCTACTTGAGGGACACTGTCCAGCGGGACGTGGACTTTGAGGTGATCAACAACAACTACGCCTATCTGAAGGGCAGTCTCCATTTGTCCCTCAACACGGCCGATCCACTGCGCAGTCGCAGCAGTATCATGGTGGCGGTGGGCGCCATTATGGCCTCGAAGATCGACCATCCGGCCACCTGGAACACCAACATGTTCGATCGGCTCATCTGCTACGGCGTCGAGCTCTGTCGCAGCTGCTGGGGCGATCGCCTGAAAAATCAGCGGCCCATAAACCTGGACGAGTTTCCCACCCAGCTGCGTCTGGGCCAGTTTGTGGTGGAGCTGGAGCTGCTGCCCAATGTGCGGTCGGGCAATTGGCGTTGCGTGGTGAGAGTCGCGGGTACAGACTTTGACCATCACGTCCGCGAGACCCTGAAGGAGTTCGGCAATGTCATCTTCCAGATCAATAGCCAGATGTACGCCGTGTGGAGCAAGGGCGGCTTCTACTACCTACTCGATGCGTACCGACACACGATTGTCGGCACGCACGTGCAGCAGGACAAGGTGCTGGGCGCCAAGTGGACCACGGTGCGCATGTTCCGGGATCCCCTCACCATGATCAGTGTGTTCCACCAGCTGCTGAAGGAGTCCAACCGCCAGTCGCCCTACCACATCCATGCGGTGCGCATCAAGAATCTGGCCGAATGCCCCAAGGGCTATGCCCTGGCTCCCCTGCCCGAGGGCGTTGATGCCGAGGTGCAGTCCATTAACGAGACGATCCGGTTCAACCAGCACGCCACCAGCTCCGGTCACATGCTGGCCACGGTAAGTGACTACGAGGAGGATCTTGTGAGCCAAACTGAGGACAGCTTCGACATCGAGAACTTCCAACTGCTGGACAATGTCAAGGATGAAACGGAACACGATTTCGATGAAGAGGGCGAAGATGAAGAGGATACGCAGGATACCAAGAAAGATGAAAAGAAGAGCAAACTGAAAGTATCTGATTCTGTCATCGAAGTCCCATCCAGGTACGATGGCGGTACGCGGCTAACTTCTGGAAAAACTCAGAAACCCTCGGCACCAAAGGGCAAACCATCAAGCAGGGTGAAGGATCAGAGGTTAACTTCTGGAGAGACCAAAGACTCCTCGGCAAGCAATAAAAAGCAAACTCGTGGTAAGCAGTCCGTATTGCCAAAGGAAAGGTCTGGCAGACCTCAGAGCCCGAGAAGGGATAAGGGATTTGATTCTGTGAGAAAGCCAAAAGATTTGGCGGAAACGATGAAGAAAGTTAGGGCATCCCGTCAAAACAATCTGCGGAACTTTACGAAATCCGAGACAGAGGCCAAAGGGATGTCGTGTCCCAATAAACCTCGCAAGGTTGCCCACTTCCAGGCCAAAACGTTCAAGCAAAAGGCGTGCCAGCAATCCTGCTGGTGCAGCAGTGAGGACGGGAAGTGTCGGGTCCCGACTGAAGCGAGCAGCAAGCATGAGATTGAAGTACCAAAATATCCGCGTTTTTGTCTCAAGCCCCATATGCTGGCTGTGGCTGGGTCGGAGAGCGGTACCGTGGAGAGCATCAAGCGGCTGCTCATCTCCTCCTTTCAAGTCGCCAACCGAGTGTTCACCATGACACCCTGGGGCAACTACGTCGTCTTCAGGGTGGACGAGAACTCCGAGTCGGGATCGGGCTTTTATGTCTTTGACGGCTGCACCTGCAACATCGATCGCTTCCGTCATTTGGATGTGTCGCACGGCACGGCCGGACTGCTGCCATTTGGCAGTCTGACCCAAGTCGTTTGCCACATTATCGACTCGCGGGAGGTCAAGGCTTTGAATGCGCTGCGCACTCGTCTGGAAGCACACTGCAAGAGATCCGAGCATTAAATCGCGTACAACAAGTAGGACTCCTTGCCAGCAGATAATTCGGTTTATAAATTGTTTTACAGTGCTATATAAATTTGAAGTGTGTTGTAAATGTTAACTAAAAAGTGTTCCGAGATGTATTCCTCCGGCAATGGGCAGATGCAAAAGCGAAAAATGTATAAGAGAATGCTCGAGAGTGGAACCAATTGGTAAACATTTGTTTACTTTTACAGAAAAGTCTCGTTTTTGCAGCGCTTCTTATTTGTTTTCCATTTATTATTATTGCTAATTCGTATGAGTCGTTAAATTTAAACTTAATATTGAGTACATTTACATAATGCAGAGAAATGTCGCCCCGAGGTGGGACGACCACGACGATGACGACGCAACTTATGTTAGCTAAACATCCAACTAGTGTGTAAATATATATATATGTATAATATATATAATATATATATTGAGTGTATATAGAATTATATTTAAATTTGTAATTCGTTTTGCAGCTGATGAACGCTTTCTAGAGAATATAAATGAAAAACCAGACCAATTTTTCAATGGTTTCTCTTCCAAATCTCCTGGAAAGCATTCATTGGCCGCGTCATAGCCGCGGTCAGAATTTTACCAGGATTTTCTTTCAATATTCCTTAATTGTATTTTCTTTTTATCATATTTTTGTTGTTGTTTGCATTTTAAGGCACTGAAGCTTTGAATTTTGTGCATACCGAAAGTAAGGTTTGTTTTATTTTCTTGGATAAGGTTTCTCTACCATCCATCCAAATGCGCGACTATAAAATTATACAAATTCCTTAAATTCCTTCCTTAAAAACATGCATCTTTCGAGAGCAAATCTTTAGCAAATTTCGTTTATATAAAAAATATCCCTGACTATTTTGTCTTACTAATTCCCTCCTCTTTACATTCCTATACTTTCTATCCATCTGTTTCCTATATAAGTATGCTTTTGCCTGAGGCTGATTCTATTATTTTGTTGCTTTGTAGGTTTTGTTGTTTGTTGGGTTTCGTTTTTTGTGGGTTCAAGCTCTTGGGATCGCAACAAAACAAAAAATACAATAACACTATGCTATGCCTAGGCCGTAGGATCTAAAATACATATACAGTTAGGTCATTTTTTAAATATATTACAAAGGCAGCTCTCTCAAAGGACAAATACCAACTAGGGACTTATGCGAAAATAATATATATAGATATCTAATATATTCAGCAACATAGGAAATGCATGCGATACGAGTACGACACGAAGAAAAGATTGCCCCTGACCCCGAAGGAAGGTTCTGTTTGGTTTTGCGGTGTGTAATCGTGGCGATCCCGAAGCGATCAACGCTTGCGGGACGCGATTCCACACACACTCGGACACAACAAACACATTTAAAATAAATTATAGATAGAGAGAGATATTGATAGATAGATCTGGACGTGAACGTAGATAATACCATTTAAAGGTGGGGGGCGATTTCCCGGTTGAGTATATATAAAGTAGAGATAGTTGTTGCACAGACCATGCATGCACAACTGGTTATGTTTAGGAGTTCTCACGCTTAGGCTAGACATATCGTGCTGGGTTAGACCATGTTGACGGCACCATCAGCTTCGAATGTGGGTATGGATATAATGTCGCTGCTGCGCACCGCTCCCATGGGTAGTGTGGAGCCCTTGGCCTGATCCACATCATCATCGTCGTCGCTGGAGCTACTTGAATCGTCCGCCTCCTCGGGCTCGCTGCAGCTGTTTGTTGAGGTGGATGTGTTTTGGGTTTGCTTCATGGCCGATGCTATATCCGTATTGCTCTCCAGCGTCGAGTGCTGGCTGGACGGCGAGTGACTGTACTCGGAGGTGTTCTCCTCCTCATCGGAGACAATGACCACATTCCGTTTGTGGTGTATGGCAATTTTCTGGGACATCGGAGCCTTGTAGCTGCGACGCGGACGCATGCCACGGGCAA